AGACCGAGACCTACCCAGTGCTGTAGCGCTGGTATTTTCTGTCAATTATATTGTTGAAATGTAAACAAAACTCAAATCTTCGAATTGATACGTATCCCAGAATCCAGAATGATGAAGGTTTACCGGCCCACCTCGGAAATTAAAGGCGAAGTAGAAAAGTGCGAAATACCCATCCCTTTAATCCTGTCCATGCTTCATTCAATTCCCTGTCAAAACACGCCGGTATTTCTGTATGGTGAGCTACACAGAATATGGAAAGAACTTTATGAAGATATAAGGTAATTTCCCGTCCCAGGTACGACCTCAACTTGGAGAGCTATTTTCGATCTTGGTAGTTGAATCCAGCGAGCAGTTGCGACACAGTGTTCCTCACGGAGGTTTACGTAGATTTCATAAAAAAAATCCGCATTCCATGCATGCGAAAACGCTTCATTGAAATGGGGGGAAAAATCAGAAAAATTCGATTCTCGAAAGTATAGCGGGCACGATCAATATCGTTGCGTGATGAGGGTACCTCGGTTTAAAATGTTTGACTCGGAAGTGACTTAAGCGTCAAAAAGGTACTTAATTTAGCAATTTATAGGTACGTGCCGTGTTTCTCACATGGGAAGCGGATGACATCAGATTGCCAAATTTTATGAGGCAATCGATTTTATTACAAGAGAACAGGTGCAACAATTATCTTGAATATTTCAGGGAATTTATATTATTAACCCATGGAGGGAATTCCCTGAAATCTTTGTAAGACTCGGTGCAAACCGCCCTCTTGTAAAAGGTACATTTTCCCATGAGATTTGGTAACGCTGATGTTATCTGGGTCCTCTTTGAAAAGTATTGCCCGTATTGATGTACGTGAACGTATGGCACACAGAAAAATCCACTCCTAAGCGTGCATTTTTTGCTCCCTGAAAAAAAAAAAACGGTTGATTCTCTTCGAAGAATTTCTGTGTTTTTTCCTCACTTTTCGTTGAGTAGGTATTGCCATCGTGACAGAAGTAAAAACTCAGGCTTCGACATCGGTACTTTGGATACTTGCGAATCAGACATGGTTGGTAGACCACAAGAGTCTGTCTGTCTGCCTCGGCGAGAAAAATGAGCGGACTTTAGAGAGCACTCTAATTCCGAGTAACTTATATTTTTAGTGACTTTTTCATGAATTCACTCAGCAAAATTGATGAAAATTGCACGTTGCGCACACGCTAGTAAACGGTTAGGGAACTCAAACGTTGCTGTTCGCCGTGCGTTCTGTTCCTCCGTGAAAATCAATTTTGAACTTTATTTCGGGGATTCCTGTGGACTCTCAATATAATCAATTCAATGATTTTTATAGCGTGCATAGAGTCGAAACGTAAGTGAGAGATCCGGCGCCATGTTTTGGTAGACGAGTTCCGAGCTTCGGTCACTTTTTCGATACATTTTCGATCCAAAATCGCTGTAGAATACGTAGTAATGAAGTACACTTTGACATAATATCAACCACCAGTATGTTATCCATCCCGATATGTATATCTAGTAGCAGTGACTGTTGAAACAAGTTGAAAAAACTCGTGTATTTCAGAAGGAAGACTCATAAAAAATTCGAAGATATGCACATACCCTTCATGGTTTTTTAATACTATATAGTGGAAAAGGTGTAGCCCTCATTATTTTCATTCCTCGATTTTCTCAAAGTGACATTAAATTAATTAAAGCAACCTAGAAAACTATAATTAAAATTTAAATAAATAAAAGGAAAGGAGGAGAAGTTCAAGAGGTGTAATTTGGCTGATGATGTGTGGGAAGATAGGTTTCATCAGCGAATGGAGTTCGTAAGTGTCCTAGTGTGGTAATTTAGCAGTTTGAATCTTTGAAAATAAAAAATTGAATTACTCACATTTTTAGTATCATATTTTGCCTTTTATCTTGCGTTTGACAAGAAACGCGTACAATTTTTAAAATTCAAAAAAAAAACGTTAATGCATAATTTTTTCTCATATTTTTTTTTTAAATGTAAATTTTACACACTCTTTACGCGGAATTTCAAAACGGCTCTCCTAATGCGTGCATTATGACAATTTTTAACGTTTTTTTAGTCCTATACCACCGTCAATGGCATAATGTAGGTGGTTTGCAAAAAGCGCTACTGCGAAATACCTCTAAAGCACAGGTTCGCGATCACACGTGAGCTGGTGTCAAATTCAACAATCCATGAACTTTCGGCCGTGGACCGCAACCTTGAGCCTGCTCCTCTACGTTACCTGTAGGTTCGCAGAAATAAATGGAAGTTTGAGCGGCGAGGTGAAGCATCATCGCTTAGAGCACTGACTCACGTCATGAGTGCTCTCTTACACAGAGTCTTAATGTGCAGGGGCGCGGCGTGCTTTGCGATATATCGATTGTTATACAATTTAAACCTATGGAAAAGAATCGATAATCAAAATGTTCGCAGCAAACACCTTAATAATCGATTTTTTACCATACGTTTAAATGGCAGAACAATCGATATGTCGCAAAGCACACCACGCCGCCGTTAATGTGAAAAAGCTCGATGTTGTCGCTTTTCAACCCTTTGAAATTTCGCATGGGTGAGCCACACGATGAATCGAGCCTTTGGCGGAGACGATCATAAAATTGTTGACTAAAATGAGACATTTTAATGGTTCTTTCGTGACATTGTGAGTCTTAAGGAGTGCCTTAGAAGCAGGGCCGGATTTTCCTACTTGCCGCCCATGGGCTGCCTGAATTTTGCCGCCCCCTTCTCATTAGTTTTGAAACATCAATAATAACCATGAAGTGAACGTGCCAGCGGGGGAGGGGTGCATAAGACGCGTTCACTCGTGTTGAACACATTTTTTGGGAAAGCCCTGTCAACACTACAAGCAAAAGGTCACGGACCTTTGGGCGAAAGTCAAGTTTCGTAAACCCATCTCTAATGAACAAGGCCTTCCGTTCATAAGAAATGAACGAAAAAATTATGAAAGAACAAACACAAAATTTCGTTTAATGATTTTAACTTCCCCCACCTCGCCACGCCGCGCCGACCGCACCGTGTTTGGCGCAATGCGTGAAGTATTCACGCAGTCTTGTAGGCGCTATGCATTTCACAATAACCGCGCTGTGTTTGATGCAATGCGTGAAGTATTCGTTCAGTCTTGTAGGCGCTAATATGTGTTACATGCCGAACGCCGAGGGCTTCTTTTTTTCATCTCAAGTCCTCGTCATCATTTCTCCCTAAGTCGTGCCGTTCCAGGCCAAATTGTGTGTTTGGTTTCTCTCTCAACTCGACTAATTAGAGGTGCTGTCTCTTGTATCACTGAAAGACGACAAAATTATAAATTACTATACTCTCAGGAAATGAGAGATTTTGTAGCCTTTTCTCGTTTGTAATTTTTTTTCTAAATCCGATTTTTTTTTATACCTACATTTAAAGAAATTGCAAAATTTGCCACCCCCTAGATTTGCCGCCATGGACCGCGGCTCATGTGGCCGCCCCCCTTAATCCGGCCCTGCTTAGAAGGGCATTCTACGAAAAACCCGTCGGAATCACATTTAAACCTCTACATTGTATATTCACGGTGACAAGTTTTAAAAGTTTCCCCATTATGTCGACTTCCCCCATTAACTCGCTCCACTGTGAGGCAAGTGCGGTGGTTTTAGTTTTAGCATTCATGTCAGAGACATCATCACCAAGGCACGAAGAATTCAATGGAATTCCTAGAACGGGGGATGTGCAATCTAACCGTGACTAAAAGCGAACAAAAAATTCGCACGAAACGCGAAGGTCCCACTAGTATTGTCTGAAATTTTCGTTGAAGCAGACGAACATGCAGCCTTTGAAATTCGTTGAGGCCGAAACGGCGACAAAAAAGCGCGTTTAGTAGAGGAGCCTACTTCTCTTAAGTGGCCTCTCGGTTCTATGACCCCGAGTGAATAAATGCCCTCGCCTGACATTCCGAGTCTACGAGGAAACTTTGATGAGAAGCACATGACTAATCTATTGTGAATCTACTAAATAGCGTGTTCTGCTTTGCGACATTGCGAATCTCTGCTCCTAGACATTTTTTTTAAAGGAGGTTCAAGCAACGTGTTTGCAAAAAAATTTACTCGCACGCAAAGAGCAGGCCACCGAGATTTCTGAAGATACTGTCGCCTTGGCCCTTCATCATCCCGAGAAATTTTGTCCCTTGGTCTCCCCCCCCCCGCCCTCGCGCGTTACGTTATTCTTCTCCATTCTACACTGAAAAAAAAAAAATATCGGTGTATTTACTATGAAAAGGGTAAAATTACCAAGAATTCAGGGTTCTATATGATCCCAGTTTTTTCTCGGTAAAATTACCATTTATGGAATTCGACTGTGGTAGAATTACCGAGATAAAATGGCGAAGTTACCGGGAATTGATTACCAATAAAAGTGGTATTCTTACCTGGAAAAAACAGTTAAAATACCGGTTTTTAGGTAAGCTTACCAGTCTGTCTTGGTAAAATTACCAATAAATGGTAAAAAAGTGAGATGGTAAAGGTACCAACGGACCGTGGTGAAAACGCCGAGAATTTTTTTTTTCAGTGTAATAAAATCATTTACAAGATGCTCGATGGACGGGGTGAGGAAGGGGAGTGGGAAGAAAAATGGGCAAAAGTGAGGAAGGGGAGTTCAAAGGCAGAGTTTTAAAACAGTGGGTCTTTACTTTCAAAGACTTTTGTTTAGTCATAGACAGCTATATGTGGCCCAGTCAAGGTCGACTTCCAAAAAAGAAATCAGAATTTAGTGTAAGGAGAACGTCATTAAGAATATTGTACGGCGGGAGATTTTTCTTTGAAACATCGTTTTGTTATTCAATTCAAATTATTTGCTCATTAAACGCCAACGGGCGATCCCTACGCTTTTGCTGCGGCCTTTGGAGGGCCGCAGCGCCCCGGGGGTTGGGCTTTGTAGCGGCCAGGGGGCAGATCCTTCTATTGTTGAATACTTTCAAGCTCCCTTCACGAATTTTTGCTGATTTTTCTTTAATTTTTGATTTCAGAAACATGACGTTAGTACAACCAACACCCGAGATGCAAACTCGGATACGAGTGGAGCTCAATGAGGATGTCTCTACAAGGCAGAAAGATTTGGAACACATCAAAGAATGGCTAGACAGGCAACCTCACCTACCCTCTTCCCATGATTATGGTGAGAATTTCTATTTTTTCTCATATTTTCTCATATTTTCTTTTCTTTTATTTTCTACTACTCCTTCGTAAGCTTTGAGTGTCTCAAAAATAGATGTGCTAATGAACTAATTCCTAAATGACGCCTAAGATTTGAATGCACGTGAGACTTTCTAATCATATCGACACTCTGCATGTTGATTGTAAAATCAGAAAAAATAAGTGTTTTGATTTCTTGACGTTACCACTTCCAAATATATGAAAACTATGCCCCCATAGCGCAGGTGCGATGAATGTTGCCATTGGTTGAAAAACGTACATCGAAATGTTGCGTGTGTTGCATTTACTCATTGAGGGGGCTTTTGTTACTGTGCGACACGTTGCAATAAACATAAATCGATCTACAAGTTTTCTTTGCATTGCATATTATCTACCTATCTAACGCATAGTGCTCATTTTGTCAATCGTTTAAAATTGGCATGTGTGTATTAACCACTTGTAAAATTATTCAATTTCATGGCAAACGATTGTAATTTAAATGAATTGAATGAAAAATTCATATTAATGATTTCGTCGCTTTGAGATATTTGGGTGTTCGTTCCCTGGTAAAAATTGGCAGTAGAATCTGTGTTCCAAAATACCATAGACCTACAGCCGGCTGTAAGATTTCCAATAGCTTCTACAGCCGGCTACACAATTTCTTATAGCCTTTTATAGCCGATGGCGACTAAGCAACAGGCAGGCGATAAAGTGTATGTTAAACGTTACTAATTACGGATGCTAGGACTTAGTGAGTTTTTGGACCACTGCTCTCTTTTTGGGCCGTAGTATCTTGATTTATTTTGCGAGGGAAGCTCCGTACTTTTGATGGATGCCTGCCATTACTAATATATTAGAGCGCCTTCAGTTTCGTATGATACGGTGCAATACCTCTGGTGTGAAATAGTTGCTTCACGCGCCGTGGCAGGCTGGCAGCCAGCGCTAAACACGCATTGGCGCCTACAAACCTAACAGGGATACTTCACGCGTTGCGCAATGCGTGAAGTATCCCTGTTAGGTTTGTAGGCGCCAGTGCTTCGCCGCTCCGCTTTGTGTTAGGCTCTTATATTTAATCTGGCGGAGTCAGCGTTATTCAACTCATGATTTTGAAATGTTTGCACATCCTGTATGGATTATTCTCATTTTAATTGATGAAAAAAAATATGTATTAAAGGAAAATATAATGTGTGTTTTGTAAATATTAAGGTGGTTCCGTATCAAACTTAATGATTTCCAGAGCACATGAATTTCTACACAATTTCTTAAAGCCGTTTATAATCGATGGCGAAAAAGCAACAGCCAGGCGATGAAGTGTAAAGCCCGGCGATAGGAACTATAGCCTGCCTGCATAATTTTTTATCGCTTCGTATAGCCCGGCCGTATGATTTTCTCCGCATTCTACAGCCCGCTATATATGATTTTCTGCAGCCTTCTTTAGCCGGCTATAAGAATTATGATATTTTGAAACGCAGCTCTTATCGCCAACTTTTACCAGGGTTATCTTGTGGAATCCCACATCTTCTCCTTTACCCAACTGTTTAGATATATTCTCTTGAAAATTGCATGCAGATAATTGATTAGTTTTTATTTTCTTTAAATTTGTCACTTATGTATTTCATTTTATTTTCACTTTTTCAATTTTTTCTTTTAAAAAAACAAATGAAGGGTGGAATTTTAAAGATCCCACATTAAGGATGTGTGTCTTTACACTTTTACCATTAACAATAGGAGCAAAAGTTGTATCGTCAGTTGTTTTGAGCTTGACCAATGGCTTACTTTCTCTTACCAGAAATTCAAAGCTCACGAAAAGTTTTTAGTGGCTTAAATATTAACATCAAGTTTTATTTTCACCCTAAGTCAAAATGTAGAACAAACACAGGTTTTGCCTCTGTCATGAAATAGCAAAAAACTAATGTTTAAAGACATCCTGGCAAATCCTTATAGGTTCCCTGACAGAAAAATGTAAAAACTGGGATTCAATCATTAATAACGTCAATTTAATGTGTTTTTCAGATGACGGCAGGATCATGACATTCTTACGGGGCTGCAAATTCTCATTAGAAAAGACAAAGAGGAAGCTTGACATGTATTTCACAATGCGAACAGCTGTCCCTGAATTTTTCGGCAACAGAGATCCAGAGAAAGACGAAATTAAAGAAGTCATGAAAATAACGTGAGTAGTGATGTACTTTTTCCATTCCCCATTATAGTCTGTAAAATTCCTGGTCCGCATCGGAAAAAACGCAGTCTGAAGCTAAATTTCAGGATAAAATATTCTGGAAAGATGATGCATTGAAAAACAAATATGACACATTTTCCCATACTCAGACAGTGTGATGCATGTATGGTAATAAACACCACACTCATGGTAGCATTTACCATATTATGGTAAGTACCACTAGAGCTCTGGTGAATACTACCGTAATTCTGGTTATTTTCACGTAAATAGTATCACTGTGTAAAAAATCAAGTAGACTTGTACTGCCGTGCTAAGGAAGAACGCCGTATGAACATTCGAGAGTTGCCAAATTTCCCTCGATAAAATATGCATTTTTGACAACAATCGTGCATATTTTTCCTTGAAATTTTCAGATATTTTAGATTAAATTCCGAACAAAATTGTCTGAAAATTTTGGAAAATAATATTCACAATTTTCCCAGTAAATTTGGTTTTTAACGGAGGAAACTTGGCAACGCCTGAAGGCTCTACGGCGTTCTTCCCTAGCACGGCAGTGTAGTAGATGTTACCATACTTTTTTTCGGTGTGATTGTATCCTTTTCCATGTTAATTCCTAAACTATCGATCGAGACTTGGATCAATTCATTTGCTCAAAAGTTGAGGAAATTTTGACAATTTCAGTCCAGGGTGAAACGATGCCGCCCTCGAGTTTTTTACCAAGAATTGTTCGATCAATACTTCAAAAGTCTAGACAGCTTTCAGACGACAAAAAACAAAAGGTTCCAAAGTGTTTTGTGAAGCGTGAGAGGGTCGTGTCAAGCAGGAGAGTACTTTTGTAGGAAGACTATTGCTATGCTGCCATACTAAGGAAAAACGCCGTATGACAATTCGAATGTTGCCAAATTTCCTACCACAAGATGTTTATTTTTGAAGAAAGTTATGAATATTTTTCCTTGACATTTTCAGACTTCCTAGATCAAATTACGAACGAAATCCTCTGAAAAATCGGAAGAGAAATATTCTTAAATTGTCCGGAAAATTCGTAATTTGTAGAAGGAAATTTGGCAATGCCTGATGGCTCATACGGCGTTCCTCCTTAGCACGGCAGCATTGGAGTGCTCGCCTTAATTACTTTAAACTTTATGGAGTTCCTAGGATTAAAAAAAAATGACAGACGTTGCACGCAGTCACTAGACAGACAGGTGAAAAAAATACCGATAGATAAGGTCACATTTGCTCGTATCGCCGTGGATACTTTACTCAAATGACATTGTAAGGCATATTTACTTGTTTCCCAACCAAGTTTGTGCATTACATTAGAAAAAATGTTTTCCACCTACGCCGCCGCTGTGGCGAGGTTTGTAACAAGGGAGGCAAAATCCGAGAAAATTTTTGTAAAATTGAAAAATATTAAAAAAATTGTACCTCAGTAATAGAATGGTATGAAATAGTGCTGGATTCGCCCTATTCAAAGAGGAACTGACAGCTTGAAAAAAATCAGAATCTTACAAAATGACCTCGAATGGGTCTCAGCGAAATGGTGTCGAAGTTTTCTTTCAATAGAACCGAATTCTGGTCGCTGAACCAAACTTTCGTTCCTGTAATCGAAAACTTTGATAATCAATTATAATGAACCGAACTTTTTTTCTCCAAGTGCAATCCCCCTATTTTGCCATCTTGAGGAAAAACGCCGTATATGCTCCTTCAAACGTTGCCGTATTTTCATCGATAAAACACGGAGTCGTCGGGAAAATTCTGAATATTCTCTTTCAATTTTCTTGGCAGTTTCTTTTGCGATTCGATTCAATACATCTGAAACTTTTAAGCAAAATCTCCTTCCGAAATAAGCGTTCCGTCGGGGGAGATCAGGCAAAATTCGAATGTTCACACTGAAAAAAAAATCCGGCTGTGGAAGCCGTACTTACAGGCTATAGACATACCGACCGTTTTCCGGGCTCAGAGACCGAATATTCCGGGTGTAGCACCCGGAGCAGTCGAAAGTACATCTGCAGCACCCGGAAATTTCGGCCTCTGAGCCCAGAACGGACGGGATATCTATACAGCCCGTAACATTTCTCTCTGTATACGGCGTTCTTCAGAGCATGACAGTTCTGCCGTGCAAAGGAAGAACGCCGTATGAACATTCGAGTGTTGCCAAATTTCTCGGCATAAACCATGTATTTTAACGACATTCATGCATATTTTTCCTCGAACTTTTCAGATATTTTAGATGAAATTGCGTGCAAAATGGTCTGAAGAATTTTAGGGAAAATGTTCAAAAAGGAGAATTTGCATGCAAATTTTTATTGCTTCATCTGCAGGCTGATTATTGAAACTGATAGACTAAACAACAGACAAAGAAGACAAAAAGGATATGGAGAGATCCTATTGGTAGAAGTGGGTGGTTGCAATGGACAAAGGACGTAGGTAGTAGACTAACTAACGGCAACCCACGAGAGACCCGATAGTTAGTCCATCATTTACCTTCTTAGTCTATAAGAACAACCCATTTCAAACAATAGGATCGCTCGATACTTTTTATGCCTGCTTTGTCTATAGCTTTATCTATAGCTTTGTCTATAAATTTCAATAATCGTCCCGCTGAAAGTGCTTAAAGAGCTGATTTCACAATATTTTTTATAATTTTTTTCTCATATGGGATATAGTATAAAAATAGATTTAAAAGTGAGAAAGTACGCCTAGTGACATTATCTGGCGGCATTGCCCATTTAAACACACGTATTTTAGCAGATTAGATAATTTTCCTGAGGAATTCAGTTTTTATCGACGGAAACTTGGCAACGTCTGAAGGCTCATACGACGTTCTTCCTTAGCACGGCATAGTAAAGAGCCACTCTAATCAAATGTATGTGGTTTTCAGGAACATCCCCCCGCTGCCGGGTCTAACCCCGAACGGACGGCGAGTGATCGTGATGCGCGGCGCAGACCTGGACGGAAACAACCTGCCCAACGTCTCGGACTGCATGAAAGTGGTGCTCATGATCGGCGACATCCGACTCAAGGAGGAAATCGTAGGAGTCGCCGGTGACGTCTACGTCCTCGACGCCGCCGTCGCTACCCCTCAACACTTCGCCTCCCACTTCTCCAAGTTCACCCCCACACTCATCAAGAAGTTCCTTATCTGTGTCCAGGTACCCACCGAGATACACTCTGTTTTCTATAACAAGTAAAAGAAACGACCGCCACACAGTGGATCGAGTCAATGAGGAAGGTCGGGCATGGAATTTTTTACTAAATCTGCAAATTTTGATACTTATTTCGTCATATTGAGAATTTTAAGTTGTGAGGCTGAAAGAGGATTTCACGAGAAAACCAATGGAACCACTTTTAGAACGTCAAAGTTTTGTATGAACTGAGTTATAAGCGTTTAAAGTTTCCAAACTTTGTCCGACCTCTTCTATTGACTCGATCCACCGTGCGCCGCGCCGCACAGTGGATCGAGTCAACAGGAGAAGTCGGGAAAAATTTGGAAACTTCAAAAGCTTATAACTCAGTTTTTACTAAAATTTGGAGGTGCTAAAAGTGATTCCAATGGTTTTCTCGTGAAATCCTCTTTCAGCATCACCACTTAAAATTTTCAATATGACGAAATAAACATCAAAATTAGCATAGTTTTAATCAAAAAAGTTCCATGTCCGACCTCTCTAACTGACTCGATCCACTGTGCGCCGCGCCTACCAGTGGGCTGATCGTTGACATTTATAGACAAAGCAATAGACATAGAGAACAAAAGGGATATGGAGGGATCCTATTCGTAGGTTTCAATGGACATGGGAGGTAGGTAATAGACAAACTAACGGCAATCCACGATAGACCCTATAGTTAGTCAATCATTGGCCCCTCAGTTTATAAGAATCACCCATTTCAAACAATAGGATCGCTCCATACTTCCTCTATCTTTTTTGTCTATCGTTTTGTCTATCAATTTCAACATCAGCCCGCAGGTTGACTTATATGGTGATCAACGTATCCGACTCCAGGTCATAAGGTTCTGGGTTCGTATCGTAGGGTTGCGACAAATTTTCAATGAACTGACAAAAAGATGCAGAAACGGACTCAACCTGGCTTTAATCCCTGAAAATTTGGAAGCGTACACGGAGAAAAAACTAGGTCATATGGATCTCTGAAGTTTTCGGATTGAGCATCTGAACACTTTAGGTCCAGCTGCTGAGGTTTGGATCACACATCTGAAACTTCAGTTTTTACATCTAAAGTACTCCGGTTTTTACATCCGAAAAACGTCGGTTCTCACATCCAAAAAACTTTGTAGTACTTACTTCAGATGTAAGAACTGAAGTTTCAGATGTGTGATCCGAACCTCGACAGCTAGACCTAAAGTGTTCAGATGCTCAATCCGAAAACTTCAAAGATCCATATGACCTAAACTTCGGGTCCCACGCACGAGATTTTTTTCTCCGTGTAGAGCATCGATGTGCGTACCCGCCCCCTATTCGATGCTCATTTTAAGGTTCCAGAATTCTCAGAAGGACGTAAAACCTCAAAAAACTGAGAGAAAGCCAAAATGGAGAGGGGATTTCTCACATGGAACGAGCCTAAGTATTGGTGACCAATTTGGGATATTAGGATATGCATCTGCGGGTGTGAATAAGTACTTAAGAAAGTATTTTTAAGATAGATTAAAAGGATTGATTGAGCAATAGAAGGTTGGGAGATCAACCCTTTCGCATACACTGAAAAAAAAGTTACGGGCTGCATAGACATACCGTCCGTTCCGAGCTTAGAGGCTGAAAGTTCCGGGTGCTGGAGCCGTGGCTTCGATTGCTCCGGGTGGTTCGCCCGGAAGTTTCGGCCTCTGAACCTGGAACGCAGACGGTATGTCTATAGCCCGTAATCGTAAGTACGACTTCCACTGCCGAAGTTTTTTCTTTTTTTTTCAGTGTAAGGCAGACGCTAGGCTCGTAAAGTAGCAATGGAAATTACATTTTATAGAAAACAGTGTAAGGGAACTTTGCTTTCATGACAAAAAAAAAAGCTTTTAGAGCTAAGACCACAATTACAGTGTAGCACTAATGCTCACTGTGAGAGTTCTTGGTAACCGTACGTCTATTCAGTAAAAATCACCACGCAAAGCGAGGGCGAGGGAGCGCTGCATTAGCAGGGTTGCCACTCATGGCAGACTGGCATCTCCACGTGTCAAGATGATATTTAAATCAGTGAGAACGAAAACACCATAACTCGGAAAATGCTCAGTTTTCATTACATTTGGTCAATTTTTATAAAGGTCATTGAAGTTAGCGCATCTGTTCCAAATTGCACCTTCAAAGTGGCTTCAATTACTGGGTTTTTGGCATCAAACATATTTTTCCTAGACTAACTTTTTCACCTACTGTACAGTTTTGTGTGTGTCTTGAAAATTTTCATTTTTTCGAGTTGGTGTGTTTTCGTTCTCAATGTTTCATTTTCAATTCCGTTTTGCCGCTGTGCTCTCTTCATTCTCGAAAAGCTTAGGACACAATCTAAATTAGTTTTCCAGTTGCAAGATGGCTCATGAAACAAAAGTGAGAGGTTTTTTCCGCCATATTTCATTCAAAGAGCCTTTGAGTGAGTGACACATTGGAGGAATATTTTTCAACAGGCCTCATGCAGACAGATTTCAACTGTTTTATGACATTTGTGGGTCAGAGGAAAGCTCAATTTTTTTTTTTTTTTAAATATACCTACGAATTTGCACGATAGGTATCGCCACAAACTATACCAGCTTAGAATTTAATTTTTTTTTAAGAATAGCTCTGCACACTGTTCTCCGTTTAAGTCAAGTATGAAGTCACGCAACGTGAATAGAGGCTTCAATGCGTCTGTTGTACCTACGCAAGAGATACACCAGTGTGAATAGATCTTCAGGAGGTATAATGGCAAGAAAATCACGATGGTCACATGAGAAGAATTTAAAATCCACTCATAAGCGCGCAATGTGCGTGGTTCAGAACACGTTTCGTCAAATTTTCTGCGTCTGGGGGCAGTTTTCTAGTAACCAGAAACGAGCAAACAGCAACTTCAGGCAGCCTCCGTGGTTACCGGTATTTGCCAGCGGTTGCCGAATCGTTGTTATAATTCGCTTCGGTCACAAGCGGGACGTGATATTTTATAATGGTCCATGCCCGCGCACACTATCTCTCTAATTAATTGATCTGCGGGTTATGCTGATAAATTTTATATTTAGAATTGTCAATTTTCGTTTACCGCGCCCTGGTAAAAATTGGCGATAAGAGCTGCCTTTCAAAATACCATAGGAATTCTTATAGCCGGCTAAAGAAGGCTACAGAAAATCATATAGCTGGCTGTAAAATGCGGAGAAAATCATACGGCCGGGCTATACGAAGCGATAAAAAATTATGCAGCCGGGATATAGTTCCTATAGCCAGGCTTTACACTTTATCGCCATCGATTATAAAAGGCTATAAGAAATTGTGTAGAAATTCGTGTGCTTTGGAAATCATTAAGTTTGATACGGAACCACCTTAATATTTACAAAACACACGTTATATTTTCCTTTAATACATATTTTTTTCATCAATTAAAACGAGAATAATCCATACAGAATGTGCAAACATTTCAAAATCATGAGTTGAATAACGCCGACTCCGCCAGATTAAATATAAGAGCCTAACACAAAGCGGAGCGGCGAAGCACTGGCGCCTACAAACCTAAAAGGGATACTTCACGCATTGCGCAACGCGTGAAGTATCCCTGTTAGGTTTGTAGGCGCCAATGCGCGTTTCGCGCTGGCTGCCCGCCTGCCGCACCGCAGCGTGCACTGAGAAAAAACTATGGTTTATAAACCTATTAGAGGTAAATATGGAACACCTATAATAGTCGTAAATAAACTAATGATTCTCGGTCTGTGAACCATACTAAGGTCTCTGTACCTAATTAAGGTACCCCGTACCATAACTAAGGTATATGTGCTATTATTATATGTAGAGGTACTACTATTAGTGGTGTTCCATATTTACCTCTAATAGGTTTATAAGCCATAGTTTTTTCTCAGTGTGCCACGGCGCTTGAAGCAACTATTTCACACCATAGGTATTGCACAGTATCATACGAAACTGAAGGCGCTCTGATATATTAGTAATGGCAGGCATCCATCAAAAGTACGGAGCTTCCCTCGCAAAATAAATCAAGATACTACGGCCCAAAAAGAGAGCAGTGGTCCAAAAACTCACTAAGTCCTAGCATCCGTAATTAGTGACGTTTAGCATACACTTTATCGCCTGGCTGTGAGTTTCTTAATCGCCATCGGCTATAAAAGGCTGTAAGAAATTGTGTAGCCGGCTATAGAGGAATAGAAGCTATTGGAAATCTTACAGCCGGCCGTAGGTCTATGGTATTTTGGAACACAGATTCTATCGGAAATTTTTACCAGAGTTGCCGGGAGTTGCCGGGAGTTGCCGGGAGTTGCCGTTGCTTGTTTCCAGATACAGTGACCGGAAATTGCCCCCAGACGAGGGAAATTTGAAAATCCGCGATTAAGCAAATTGAATCCTATGAAGAAGATTTCAGACTTTTTTTGTGTTAACATCATGATTTTCGTGCCATTTTCCCTTGTAAAATCTATTCACACGGCTGTATCACCGCAGGGTCTCTTGCGTGCAACAGACACATTTTGAACTTCATTACTAACGCGTTAGCAACTTAATTAAAAAGTTAGCGAAATAAAGCGATTGGATGTCTCATTTGTTTACTTTCAACGCCCACCTTAATTGTTTTGTTTGGGATGCAAGTTTCGATTTCGAAGCAAAATGTTGAAACAGGGGCTCGATTTATTTTAGAACTGTCCGCGTGGGTAATTAAGCGAGGAAATCGCCCTCGGCAGTATGGAGTCGGCGTACTGCAGTCGGAAGTTCGGAATGGAAGCATCAGAATTTTGTGGCTTTCTTCGGTCATTTCCAGTCGCCCAGAGCTATTAATTTCTGCACGTTTACGACCTGACTCGAAATATGTGTGGAGCCTGAGCCGCTACACTGGGTAATTGCAACAGTGTTACAACTGCTATCGAGAATGATATCTTAACTTTCAATGTGACTACTTTTTGCAATGAAGAACTACTATTTCTGGTTTATTCCAGAATCTATGTACGTGGGGTTAGTTTCCTCATGCAGATGTAGGTGCTCTAACGTATGATTAAAAAATTTAGCCAATGTAAGTTTGCTTATTTTGTTTCCTATTTTTCTTACAGGAGGCCTACCCTGTAAAATTAAAAGAAGTTCATGTCATAAATGTCTCACCTCTTGTTGACACCATCATCAGCTTTGTCCGACCATTCCTTAAGGAGAAAATTCGTAACAGAGTGAGTATATTTTTGGCTTCATTTACATTAACGGTCTCATGTTGAAACATCATCTCTAAATTATTCCAACTTTACCCATCAATTTATTTTTTCACTCAAAAAGTTAATTATAATACTTGTGAATGAGGTATTTGCAACATTGACGTCACTTTCATAAGTTGCCATTTTATAGACTATCGCGATTCATTTCTGACAGGCGGAACGCAGAATTGAAGACAAGGCCTGGATGCAACATTTACTGCTTCAAGGGATGTCTCTGTTGCATAAGTCCAAAAATGAAGGCGCTTGTGGTTTACGGGCGCGCGTGGCCGCGTACGAGAGTTTCATGAAGAAGTCAATAGGCCAGAGAAATAACGAGCACACTGCATATCGTCGTTTCCCTCACGAAAGAACGTAATTGCATTTCAATGGTGCCAAATTTCCCCGCGCAATTTGAATTTTTACCAGGGGAATCTTGGGCATTTTCAACTGCGAACACTGATTTTCCCTTAGATCTCATGCAAAAATCAGAACAATTTTGAAGAGAAATTGTACAGGTCTATTCTTGTTCAAAATTGAATTGTTTGAGTCAATTTTTGCAAACGTAGAGTGAAGTTACGTTTCTTTGTCCAGAAAACGACAATTGGACGTATTTAAACTAAAAGGAACTATGTGCATAGGATTTGCGTGAGACATAGTTCCTTTTAGCATAAATACGTCCAATTTGGCAAAACTCTCGTTTGAAACTCGTCATTTTATGTTTATCACTTGATATCGTCATCACAAATATACTGAACGAGTCAAAGTGCTGAGCAGTGATGTGCGATCTTACCGATCTAGTAACAGCATTTCAACGGCATCCTCTCAGATTAGTCTTTAAATTAGCTCAAGCCGACGTGACACAAGCCGCATACTCGCGTCTTTTTTTTACACCTTACTTTCATCCGTTTTTTTGCATAGAGTCATCTCCCTCCCACCTACTCCTCAAAAAAAACCTCTTTTTTCTTCTATTCTAAGAACCGGAAATTTCATTGACTAGTCGCTGAAACGAAACTGCACGATGAAGCACAAGCCTCAATTGGACGTATTTATGTCAAACGGAACTATGTGCATTATGACGTGAGCCCTGTTATGCATGTATTTTTATGGGTCTCAGGGCTCATATCTTAATGCGCATAGTTCCGTTTGGCAGAAATACGTCCAATTAAAAGTCGGGTTTAATGAGGCAGCGTTGAAATGTTTACGTTGTTTCGAATTAGAATACAAAGGCTGTCCCAAAAGTTTTGAATCGGTCCACCGTATGGGCGAAAGAAAAAAGGTGGCAAGTGACGGTTTGCTGGGTACTTTAGGTCAACTTTTAGCCTATACAAAATGAGCCCCAGTTGAACATATTTTGTCAAAAATTATCTTGGATACTGTGTTTTAACGGATATACAATGTGTGCAAATCCTGACCTGATTTTAGGATTTTCTGTAAGGAGGAAAAAACACTGACATTTTAATTACTATGCGCGTGTAATAAAAAAAATGAACAAAATAAGTATGTTAATTAAAATTAACATCATTTATTCCTCTTCATCTGACAACAGTGGCATCGTTTTACCAAAACCTTGGGGTGGGAGTAAATGACTTTTTTCCCAACCTTTCTTTCCTTCGTTTTTTGCTCGTCAAAATTAAATGATACCCAATTTACCTTTTTACGCTCCAAAAAAATTTAGCTTGTTTTCTTCCCGTTTGCGTGGCAATGAGAGCTTCTCTTTCGTTTATGATTCATAGCTGATCTACGAATGAAAGTTTTAAACTGATATTGCTTTCAGAAAGTTGTATCTATTTCCCTTGATTTTGATCTAGGCCTTCTAAAATCGCCTTAAAATTAACGATACCTCTGTCTGAAAATTTCAAACTTATTCCCTGTCTTTTAAAGTATTTTGTTAAGCTTTAAATACACAGACTCAAGCGTTCCATTTAACCAGAATCGTCTCGCTGAAATTCTTGGGAGTACATCGCCCAGAGGGAAGGGGGGGGGGGGCAAACGGGTCTCTAGTCACGGGCCCCGGGCTCACCGCAACTTTTTTATTTTCTTTTTTGGCTCATGCGGTAGTTCGATCCAACAATTTTAGGGCAGCTTCTGAATGATCGTCTATTCGACTGCCTTGGTCGAAAAATGCCTATCTTCGATTGCAACTGTAGACGTCTCCGCTCTTAATTTTGAGCGTTTACCACGCCACGCGCAGTGGGCACCTTTGCTGCTAGCATCTACGCTTCGCTTTAGGGGAATTTCCCGCCATTTTTTGAGGCGGAAAAGTCTTAGGAGGATTAAATCTACCTAAAAAGACTGATTTTCGGAGAGTTTTCTGCCGCCAGGATCCGATTTTAGAAACTTTTAAACGCGATAGTTTTGTTCACCACGTGTGCGTGCCTTGAACCATCTTCTCATCACAGAAGTGTAATGGGGTGTAGCGGCTACTTAAGGTGATTCGATGGACGCCATATTTTGTGTCAGAATGGCATGCGATATATCGCATCAATTGGTTCCATTTTTTTTAGCTACTCGTCATTTTTCTCCAATTTTGAGATCGCAATTCTGTTGTCACGAGACTAAAGCACTCACTTATCAATTTTAACAAAGAAATTAAACGTAATAAAGGCGTGGTTTTTTTTAGAGAGAAAACATCGCATTCGATGCTGATATCGAAACTGCACTCAAATGCAATATTTTCTCTCTAAAAAACACCACGCCTTTATTACGTTGCATTTCTTTGTTAAAATTGGTAAGTGGGTGCTTTTGTCTCCTGACAACAGAATTGCGATCTCAAAATTGGAGAAAAATGACAAGTAACTGAAAAAATGGAACCAATTGATGCGATATATCGCATGCCGTTCTGACACAAAATATGGCGTCCATCGAATCACCTTACGGTCACAACCTTTCTGGGAGTCACAAGCAGACTGGAAGAACTCTTCATATGCGTACTTGGCACACCTCCTCTGGGAGGCCCCTGAGTCCGTTTCCTTATACTTGACACGATCATTACCACAGCGTAATTTTTTTTCAGATTCATGTCCATGCAGATCTAGACTCCCTGTACAAATTCGTGCCGAAGGACGTCCTTCCGGAGGAATATGGCGGCTACGCGGGGCCCATCGCCGACATCAACAGTAAGTCACATTATCTCACCAGCGTTTGCAAATCCTCTCCTCGCGGAGGCACATTCGAAGCACATCTATTTAAGCATCTCGGAGTGACCTAGGAAGAAAACTGCAGATCACGACACTAAGAACTGAGAGAAGGACAGCGGTGGCATTAACTGTCACCACCTTCGTCTTAATGATTATTGAGTGACTTGCGGTTTACTCCCGGCCTCAGCCGTTCGCCAAACGACGCGACATGGTCACGTAGTTTCGGCATCAACAGTGATGCTCATTAAGGCAAATTAATGTATGTATCGGGTGATATTTCCGAAGAACCATTTCGGGGATCCTTGCTTCATGAGTCTGTTATTTCGTCATCCATGATGAACACGAATCCTGTGTCTGATCCTCTCGATGATGGAACTCCATCAAAGAAGGGCACTTGAACTAGGAAAATATTCACCTGGGTTCGCATTGTCGACGTACTATCATACTTTACGTAGGGGCCGTTCAAGGATTAGGTAACGCACGCAGGGAGCACTGAAAAAAATATATCGGTGTATTTACTAAAGAGAGGGTAAAATTACCAAGAATTCAGGGTTCTATTTGATCCCAGATTTTTCTTGGTAAAATTACCATTTATGGAATTGGTAATTTTACCGAGAACTCTCGGTAAAATTATTGAACTTTCTCGGTAATTTTACTGGACCTTGAAAAAAACGCCAATGTTTTTTATCGACTGTGGTAGAATTACCGAGATAAAATGGCAAAGTTACCGGGAATTGATTACCAATAAAAGTGGTATTCTTACCTGAAAAAACAGTAAAAATACCGGTTTTTAGGTAAGCTTACCAGTCTGTCTTGGTAAAATTACCAATAATTGGTAAAAAAAGTGAGATGGTAAAGGTACCAACGGACCGTAGTAAAAACGCCGAGAATTTTTTTTTCAGTGAACTAGGAAACTACTACTTACCTGGGTTTGCATTGTCGACGTACTATCATACTTTACGTAGGGGCCGTTCAAGGATTACGTAACGCATTCAGGGAGGAGGGGGGTTTGAACCAGCGTTACGGTGCGTTACAAAGGGGGAGGCGGGAGGGGGCTACCAGCGATACGTAACAAATGCGAGTCGAGGGGGGGATTGGAAAAAAACGTGCCAAAAAGTGAAAATCCCGCCCTTCCCGAATTAATTTTTTCGAAAATTGGGC